TGTCGGGGTTGCTTGGGCGCGACGGGCGCCACGACCCCGGGTACGACGCGGACAGGCACTGCGGGCGCGCTGTCGCGGACACTGGTGCCTCGCGCACGCTGGCGCGGGCACGGACTGGCACTGGGCGGGCAGTGACCAAGGCCGGCCCTTGCCGGACCTCCGGCAACATTTCCGGTGACATGCAACTCCAAACATCATGATATGGTAAAATAAGCATAAATATCACATAAAACACTAGTGGACCCCGGGTCCACATGCATGATACTCGGGAGGGCCTAAATGGCACGTACGAGCAACTTGGCCTCCGAACCAACATTTATAACTTACAAAACTACTCAGGGCCGAATGATATACATCACAAATGATGACTATAATGGCTAACACTTGGGTCATACCATGCATGCATGAGGATGGGCCTCGGGTGGCCAAAATAGCGTATTTTCATGAATGAATTGACCAAGGCAATGAACTCCATTTATTCTCAAATTTTTACAGCATCAATGGTATGATATTTAAGGGTGATTTAACCAACGTTTTCGACTTTGGCATGCATGCAACTAAAATTTTATTTTTTAGGCCATTTAATTCAAAAATTCGTAAATCATATATAATGACATGCATGGCTCGGTTTCTCTTCATGAAAAATCTTAAAATATCATAAAATAATTAATGAACATAAAAATCTTGAGCTTACCTCGGTTAGAAATGGAGATAATGAACAAGGGCTCGAAATGTGGTTATGCACGGCTTTAGGGGTTGGCTTGGACTTAGGTTGTGATTTGCTCGTGCCAAACACCTCCAAGAGACTTAGAAAAATATAAGGTACACTTATATGGTGCTAAGCCTCGAGGGAATGTGCTTGGAAAAGGCTGAGGTGCGGTCCTCCTTCTTCCCCGGGGCTGCGCGCGCGAGGTAGGCACCAGCTGGGTTCTTCTCACTTTTCTGATTTTTCCCTAAGTATTTGCTCGAGGTATTGGGGGTCTAAGAACTTCCTTGCATCTTATAGAAGAGGTTTATATAGGATATGGGGCGGAACTTGCTATGTGAGGTCAAAGGGGACCAAAATGGTTGGGAATCTTTCTCTTTTCATGCACATGAGTAGAGGCTAGTCATGGGGAACAATGGCTGACTTAAATCACGGTTTTGGTGGAGATTCTTGGTGGTTTTACAGAGCTCAAACGTTTATCTTTGAATGAAGAGAGCTCGAACATGGTGATCGAAAAACAACAAGACGTAAGTTCAAATTTTTAAATTCAAGACTTCAATTTTTGATTTTCGACATCATCAGCGGTTACTCAGTTTTTGACCTTAGATTACTCCGTGTTCGACCTCAGTGGTCACTCGGTTTTCGACCTCAGTGGTGTCTCGGTTCTCAGTTTTCGACCTCAGTGGTATCTCGGTTTTTGTTTTTCTACCTTGGTGGTCTATCGGTTTTCGGTTTTCAACCTCAACGGTCTCTCGATTTTTGGTGTTTGACCCCAGTGGCGGGTCATTCGGATTTCGACCTCAGTGGTCGTTCAGCTTTCGGTGTTCGACTCCAGTGGCGGGTCTCTTGGTTTTCGACCTAAGTGGTTGTTCGGCTTTTGGTGTTCGACCCCAGTGGCGGGTCTCTCGGTATTCGACCTCAGAGGCAGGTCTTTCGGTATTCGACCCCAGTGGTGGGTCTTTCGGTTTCTGACTTAGTGGTCATTCGGTGTTCATTTGGGGTCCCGATGCTCATTTGGAGGTTGGTGGCTATTTGGTGGTCGATGATTTATTCAAATTATAACTTCAGTGGCAGGTTGACGGAAACATCCCGAAGAGGAATTTCACTCTTGGATCGAGTCATAAGGTACACTCCCCCTATAAAAGGAGGCTAAGGTATCCCATTCTCTCATTCTCTCTACATTCATAATTATACTCTTGGGATTTGGAGTGATTCTGACTTGAGCGTCGGAGGCCCGACGTCGGGACCCCTCCCGGCGTTGGGTTCTTGCAGGTACGGAGGCCGATCGAGTCGAAGGAACCCGAGTGAAATCTTATTCACTTCATAATTAATATAATATTTTATTTAATTAATCATTTATCTAACCAGATTTATCTCATTAACAAACTTGCCAATTTTTTTTAAATTAAAATGGTACAACTATTCTTACGGATATAATTTCCAAAATATTAATTATTTTAGAAACTTTTTAAAAATAAATTTGAATTATCATGTCTTTTGCTTTATATGAAATTAAAACATACGTTGTTAAATATATTAATAAACATTTATTATTTATTTTTTCCTTATGTGAAATAATCTAAATTTGGTTCTTAGATTTTTAAATTCAAACATTTAAAAGACAAAAGATCCCAAAAATTTTTTTTGGGTAAATTTCATATAATATTCCTAATCAATTATTTATCTAACAAACTTTCATATTTTTTTAAGATATAATCATATTCCTAACAAACTAATTAATTATCTAACCGATTTTTTAAGATATATTTTATATAATATTTTAACTAATCAATTATTTATCTAACCTGATTTATTTCCTTAACAAACTTGCCCAGTTTTTTGAAATTAAAATGGTATGATTATTCTTACGGATATACCTACCAAAATATTAAAACATTTTAGAAACTTTTAAAAAAAATTGAGTCATCCCGCCTTTTACTTTATTTGAAATGCAAAGTTATATTTTTAAATATATTAATAGATGTTTATTATTTATTTTTCCTTACGTGATATAATCTAAATTTGGGTATTAGATTTTTAAATGCAAACATTTAATGGAAAAGATCACAAACAGATTTTTTTAGGTACATTTTATTTTATCTTAACTTTTTAGGTACACTAGTACGTACCCCGTGTGATGCACATGAGAGATATTAAATGAGTTATTTTCACACCCTTGTCCGTTTAAGTATGAAAAATAATAGGGTTATTATCTATTTTCTACCTCTTTTAATCAACGTTAAGTCTAAAAAACAATAGAGTTATTATAAGTTTTTTTTCACATCTTTTAACCAGCGTTTTTTTTAGCCAGAACATTAAATATGAGCATGTTAGGGCTAACTTGTAAAATAATTAATATATTATCTCACTAAAACCTTTATACTAATAAAAATTTAATTTTAAAATATAAATTTATCACTGGATATAAGAGAAAGTAACAATTTTACTTATTGTTGTTCATTATATAATATTTAATCAATATTTTATTATATAATAAAAAGGAATACTGTTAAATAGTGTAGTAGAATTGTTATAAAATTATATGAATTAATTTTTTTACAATATCAATTTAATATCTTTTTATGATTAGATATAACTATAATATATTCTTAATGATAAAATAATATGAGATACGGATTTACATAATACTATGGATTTATTCCTTAATGTTAAGATATTGAATTAGGTAATATATGATTCACTAATTTGTAATATGTCTCTTTTTATATTGAAAATAATCATGTGATTGAGTAGAGATAACAATTATCTATAAATTCTTTTATTTAAGGAATAATTTTTAAATAGGTCCAAGTGTAGAATGCAACCCGATTTTCTTGTAACTAAAATGAGAAGAGATACTGAATTTCAAATTTTCACTTCAAAACCACATGTAAATTTGGATGCAGATTTTATTAAAAATAAAATGAGAAGAGATTTTGAATTTCATATTCACTTCAATATCTGTCGAAATTTTCAAAAATGAATTCAACAAAACCCATAATTTTAGGGGCATTTAATGCTACCATATTTTATGATTTAAAATATCTAAAACTTTCTAAATATGGTGTGCAATTAATTATGAGTTGACTTTTCTTCCTTACAATTCTAGTAAATGAGGTGGCTTTTTATATAAGTATAGATTATATTGATTTTCCTGTACGGGTGTTTTTGAAACATTTAATAAACACCCGTGTAGATTTTTTCCTTATATTTTTCCTTATGTTAAAATAAAATTCTTTTTGAAAGCACAATTAATTTTTTCCTCAAACATTTAAAATTTTGATACGTTTACTGGTTTCTGATGGGATGACGTAAGTTGAGATGTTAAACCCAATTTCAAATGTTATGTTGTGTAATTTGTTACTTTAATTATATTGAATTTGATTTCATAATAATTTTAAATTGTTACTTTAGATTGAATTTGATTTTATAAAATTTAAATATATGATGGGGATAGGATTTTCTATTAATTATTTGATAAAAAAATTAAATAATAAAGAAAAAAGATAATATAAGATAATATTTGGATTTCTCTTCTAATTTGATCAGTAATTTGACTAATGGTTGATCATTGAATAAATTAGTCTGAAGTAACACTGAAGTTGAGATATGAAAGTGCTTAAAAAAATAGATGATCTTGATATGTAAAAATAAAAATAAAAAATAGATTTACTTTAAAGTCTGGATTCTTTTCATTATTTTTTGTACATTAACAATTATTTTTCCAATATTTTTTGTACATTAAAAAATAGATTTACTTTAAAAACAAAAAATAGATGATTGGTTAATTAATTTTTTTTAGAAAAAAAATCAACTACAAGGTTTAATAACATTCCTAAATAAAAAATATTGTGTAAAGAAAAGTGTTTAATAATATATATTTTTCATTATTTGTAATTATTTTATTTCTATAATTAGAATTTATGTGAAAAATATAAACAATTATATTTAAAATAAATTTTAAAAAAAATTAAATTATGAGCTCCTCCAGAAAAAAAAAATAAAAAAAAAAAA